TCAGAGTGATTCCAATGAACTACTTGGCATGCACCCCTAACACAATTGGGTAAAAATTTCTTACTGGCATGCCTTGGATAAATAGGGGGACATCGGTGCACCAAATAACACAGGTAATAGAGTATCAATGGTAAAAGTATAACTAATAATGTATAACCTATTTACCTACCTACCTAGCCCGTAGTTGGYCAATTAAACATCCATCTGTTTTCTTTTTGTATGCAAATTTCACCAACATGATCAAAACCTTATTAATAATTAATTCATAAAATCTGAATAATCAGTGAAAACATTTAAGGTCTACACTCTAAGTTCTATATGCCTTATTTCATTATCGGAATGAGATTGCATAATGTATAATAACCTAACAAGGGACATTGGGTAAATTGCATTTCAGATGAGTGATGAAGCTAGATTCACGGAGCAACAAGTTTCATTGGTATGTCCTTAGTTGTATTAGTAGAAGGTTTCGTTAGGTCAAGATATTCGATGAATTGAACTTTACGGTATTGAGCATTACTAACCATTTACATATGTTGAGTCCTCGGAATGTTGGGCTTGAAGAACTTGTTTGACATTTTCAACTGCATCTGGGTTCAATATGATTGATAACAAATACATCCATCAAGTTAAAGTCCATAAACGATATTCATACTGAAATGCTAATACAAGTGGTAAAGGATGCTTAACTCCTAAGTGGCCAATTAAGTGGACTTAACTAATTGAAGTGGTGATATGATGCTTACTACCTAGCGGGTGTTTAAGCATTCCTAAGCAAGAATCTTTAGATCACTGAGTCAATGCCAGTTAAAGTTTTGATTTTAGGAACAAGTTGTGATGAATAGATAGAGCTATGTAGATATTGATTGATATCTGTGTTGGGTTTTTGGAGCTGCTGGCAGTTGGAGTAACTTATGCTTCTCTGTTTTCATTTTATATGCAAAATTCACCAACATGATCAAAACCTTATTACTAATGATTTCATAAAATCTGAATAATCAATGAAAACATTCAAGGTCTACACTCTAAGTTCTATATGCCTAATTTCATTATCGGAATGAGAATGCATAATGTATAATAACCTAACAAGAGACAGTGGGTAGTATGACAGTGATTAAGAGTGATGACGCCAGGTTCACGATGCATTAAGTTAAATTGTTATGTCCTTATTTGTATTAATTGAAGAATTTAGGTCAAGATATTCCATTAGTTGAATATTACGGTATTCCATATCACTAACCATGTACATATATTGAGTCCTCTGATTCTTGGGCTGGAATAACTGGTTCGACATTTTTAAATGCAACYGGGTTCACTTGGACTGCAACTGGGTTCATTACAAAATCATCAGCTTCATCTTCGTCTAAAACTTGGAGAAGGATTTGCAGCAGTGTTCTTGAACTTGGAGAAGGAATTCTTTATCATGATTCTCTCGCTCCTTTTCCTAACTGATTCATGGGGACACCGCATAATAAGGTTATTGGAATAACATTATACTAAATGCAGTAAACCCAGATGATTACCTCGATTTGCTGCAATGAAAATTCCGGGTTGAACTTCGTCTGCCATTTCTTTCTTCTGCAGAATCGTAACTCGTATTCTTCAATGAATCTCGCTATTTTGTCTTCTAAAGGAGAGTGATTCTCGCATTCATGATTTCATAGCATCCYTTCTTAGAATAGATTAACTTTTCCAATTCCAATCTTACCCTTGGTTACCCTCAATCTATCAGGCGCGTRAATATAATTTTCCATTTTATTACAATKTTGCMATCAAATGCATCTTGACCATAGATTAAAAAATGAAGGGATGAGATGATGGTTGTATTGGGTGTAGGAATGAGAAAGGTTGTAAAATAACCTTCCTCTATATATATATATATACATATATATATATATATAGGGTTGGGTTCACGTGAGACCAGTCTATTTTCGTGAGACCCGTGAGACCATATTTTTACACGTAAACTTCACAGCAAAAACATTGTGAAGGTTTAAAAAAAGTCGAACCTTCACAGCAAAAACACTGTGAAGGTTTTAAAAAGTCACCTTCACAGCATTTTGCTGTGAAGTTTCAAGTGTAAAAATGCTAGTCTCACGGGTCTCACGAAAACAGGCTGGTCTCACA